TTTGCAGCTAGAATGGTCATTTACCACATATTCTTTAAAGTTAAGACTAGTTTAAAGTTATCTTCATTGAAATCTTCATTTGAACGGTAGTGTATATCTGCAAAATCTCTTATATTCAACCACAAAAAAATACTTAGTTAAGCAAATTGTACAAAATAGCAATAAAAAAAATTAATAAATAAATAAAGCTATTTAATAATAAATTAGACAATCAGATAAAGATAAATAATATAAAATGTAAGGGTGAATTAAGAATGAAATTCAGACAGAAAAGAATAGTCTTTTAGTTTTGGAAGCAGACATTTTCTTTAAGGGCAAATCTTCTCATATCATGACCAACAACAGCATCAACCTGTATCATCTACCAAGTGTGAGGACACATCATTGAAGATCACGCTGAAGGACGCCATGGCTCTCTTGAAAAGTGTGAACCAACACAAAGCTAAGGGACAAGACGGACTGTGAGGAAGGATTTTAAGAGAGTGCCCAGCAGCTTGGAGAAGTATTTACCAGACTTTTCCAGCTTTTTGTGGATACAAGGTCTGTTTATAATAATCCCCCTCCCCAAGACTGCAAGGGCCAAGGATATGAAAGACTTCAGGCCCATCGCTCTGACGCCCAGACTTAGTAAATGCATGGAGAGCGTTATGTGCAACCATCTAAAGCTGATGCTTCAGGGATCTCTGGACCTCTAACAATTCGATAGACTTCTTGAATGCATTTAATACGCTAAACATAAGCGCTCTGGTCACACGTCTTTCTCACCTCGGAGTAAACGCCACCATTATTCAATGGCTGAAGGCGTTTCTTTACAGCAAACCCAAAAGTCAAAGTAAATAGTTTGTTGTCTGACAACGTAATGCTAAATATAGGATTGCCCCATGGGTGCATATTACCTCCCTAGTTATTTTCAATATACACAAATGAAATCAGATATGACACAGACAGTGTAACATTGATCAAATATGCCGCCGACATGGCGTTGGTCGCACTCGCACGTCTCACCGATGTTCATTCAATGCCGCTCTATGTGAACGCCACAATCACTCATGAAATGGTTTCAGAACAGTAATCTCCAGTTAAATGTAAATAAAAGTAAAGAAATGTGCCTCATGTGGTCAGAAAATTTAGATTTCTCTCTCTCATATATTAGTTATGCTATTTATCCAGTGAAAAATGTTTTTACTCAGTTTGTTTCACCTGCAAGGCTGAGAAAATGTCTGAGTGAGGGATGGTTTACTTATTCCCACAAGCCAAAGTCCTTCTCAAGGTTTGTTAAAGTGTGTATAGTTAGTTTTGACTCTGACTGGTCGATCTATGTTCCTACCCTCACCTATGGTCATGAAATCTGGATCATGTCCGAAAGAACGAGATCCCTGATACAAGCGGCTGAAATGA